ATGGATCCAAAACGACCGACAATGGGGTAACCTTTGCTACTCATTGCTTCAGCGAAGCTGAACTACAACTTCCCAACTGTTGTTTATGTTATTGACCATTTGGCCCTTATTAAGATTCAAAACAGGAATATCTTTAAGGATGGCTTTTAAACCCACCATCAATCTAGAAAACGGACACGGTAAACGGGACCTAGCTTTCTGCCGAGTAGCCCTGCTGCTAAGCTCCCTAGCAACGGAACAGCAATAATCGCGAGGTACATTTCATCCCGGTATTCAGGCTACTGTGTCTCTTAGTCTATTATGCTTCAATACGTATTCTAACGCGGCGGGGGCGGAGGGGGGGAAATTTGATTCGAAATGAAAGCAAGCTAACGCTCAAGAGAGACCGATTCGATAACAATAGGCATTGCAAAATGAAGTACCCCACAGAGTTCTAATGAGTAGGTAGCTTGTAGAGCATAGAGGGATGAATATAAGGGCGGACTAGTTTGATGAAAGTAGGGATAGAAGCACGACGGACATAAATAGCCTTTTGGTTAGATGTACCCATTTTTTGTAGCGTACAATTAAGACCAAATTTAGTAGACAGGGTTTGAATGAGAAGTTGTAGTTCAGCTTCGCTGAAGCAATGAGTAGCAAAGGTTACCCCATTGTCGGTCGTTTTGGATCCATCCTGCATAAACCAATGAGCTAAACCTAGAGGAGTAAGATGGTCCGGTATGTCATTTGGAACAATCTTTACCCCTTCCGGATAAAACCATTCGCGGTAGATGTTAAGACAAGGCAGAGACATAGTACAGAGCTTGTAACCATAATACTGTATTCCTGTGGTTCGGTCCAATTTATTGTCAGGGGTTAGGTTTTGTTGACGAATGAGACTAGCGAGGAGGTCTGCTAAGCTAAGAAGATAAGGGAGGTTAGCCTGACCGATGGATAGCCTAGTGTTACGTTTAGGCCCCGGGGGTCTGGTTGCACTCATATCGCCTAACAAACTCCCGACTATTACCTCATGCTGCTCAGGGCTTACCTTTATATTACCTCTGTTCTTTGCACTGACTTGGGGTCCAGAACGAGAATTTCCTGCAGAGGAAGGGGTTCCATTTGAACCGTTAGAGAAATAACGGTTCGGGGGGGGGGGGGGAAATTTGATTCGAAAGCCATAACAGGTAACGCTCAAGAGAAACGGACTCGATAACAATAGGCATTGCAAAATGTAAGACACCACAGCATCGTGTTATTGGCTTTAGATGATACGGAACGCATCATCACGTAATTGATCAGATCATGTCATCATGGGCGCCGTAGGCGATGGGGGGCCATAGGCCCCACCACCGAATGGCTTGGCACGCAGGCGTATGATCGTTGAGGTAATATAAGCAACTACCTGCTAATTGCCCGTTGCTATACTTTTTTGCCCTGGTCCTGGCCTGACACCCTTGGCAGGGTCCGGACCAGGAATAGAGTAGTACAGCTTCCAGGGCGTCCCAGCATATAGCCTATGTTAACTATTAGATGGATTCATCCACAGTGCCCTATGGGAGCTCAGAACACATTCCATAGAATACCCCCTCACGATTAATAAGCACAGAGAACTGGTTCAACCTTCCGGGCACACAATCAAGCTTGATTCCGAGCGAAGGTACAGCAAAGGAATGAATGACGTCCCTAGCGGTCACGATAAAACGAACATGGCTATCCAGCGGCAGTAGAACTCGGTTGTCGACCTCCAGCAGTCTTAGATCGCCAGCTTGTAACTCAGTTTCCGGCACCATGTAAGAGTCATACTCAAGAGTTTGCCCCTGCTCATCCAGATAATCGCTATACTCATAGCTCCAATCACTTT